CAAAACGGTAACAGTATGGACAAATGTATTCCAAAATCAATACATTTTTATATTTAAAATGCTGATAATATTTTTAACTCTTTATTCAGGCTTTTTGTTTGGCAAACATTATTGAAAACTTTAATCATTGCTGGAAAATATCAACTTTAATCCAAAGTTATGTTTAAACTTAACATTTGGTAACAGTATGGACACAAAAATGTAACAGTATGGACAAACTTATTCAAATTCAATACATATTTATATATAATATACTGATTTTTTATTCTGTAGTGATGTTTTTTTCATTGTAATAAATATTGGAAACTTTAGTCATTGCTGCAAAATTTCAACTTTAATCCAAATTTTCATTGAAACTTGTATTTTGGTAACAGTATAGTGTTAGGCAAAAATGTGAAATTGAAGGGTTCACTGAAACAAACATATCTAATAACAATCCTTATAAACTGAATGTTTTAGTTACAAGAAAATATAAGTTGTGTTTTGTGAAGGGGTAGAAGTAAAAAGATATTTCCACAACCACATACCCTATAAATTGTCATAGATGTCAATACGAGTATCACTTTTGTCCATACTGTTACTTTGGAAAATTGTAACAAACAAGCATTTATATTGTTCAATTCTTCCGTGAAAATATTTCTTTCTACATTGTTCCTAATGTTTATTTAATTCAATTGAGCAATACAAAATAACATTTTGTCCTTCTGATCCATTTCCATCATGTAATATGAAAAGATGTACTTTAGTGTCTCCATACTGTTACCATTGTCGTCCTTGCTGTTACCGTCACTATCATGACTATTGTTCAGATTTTTTTTTCATATTTTAAAAACGCATGTGAAATATTTTCAAAGATTACATTTATTTATTTACCTACATATGACTTGTGACTCTTAAAGATAATGGCGGATGGAAAGAATATTTTATACAACATAATAGGTATCTTTGCTGGCAGCTTTCCCATTTTGCCACCAAAGCAAATTCTAAAAAAATCTAATTTAAAATATTTTCACCCGATCATTTATTTTTTTCAGTTTATGATAAAATATAAAGACTTTCTTAGCTTGGCGCAAAAATATAGATGTGAAAATGAAATAGAACTAACAGTAAGGATATTTTTTATGTAATTACCTTGAAAAACGATATTTTCATTTTTGTGAATGCATTTACTTTAATTGATACTTTTACATAATCAATGGATAGATCATCATTACCCCACAAATATATTTCCTGTTTTCATCTTTTCAAATTTACACTCTTCGTGTAAATAGTATTTGAGATGGGGGAACGGGAGGAACGGGAGGAACTCTTACCCGGCGAAAATCCTCACTCACTCATTCACCATAAAGAGACCCGCCCTCCTGTAATCAATACATACATAATCCCTCAAAGGATGTCGCGCGACGCCCTGGGACTGCCAAGAAGCCGGGGAGACCGATCTGGTCAGCCGTCCCTAACCCAGGCTCAACTGAGTAAAGTCAAACATAGCGCCGACATTACACACAGCTGCCCAGGCGAGGACGGTCATACCCCACTTTGCCGGACAGCTGATGTGATGATAACGGATCAAGAGTAACGGTCCGCTAGTTTGCTGGCTATAGTCTGATTTCAGTGAGTAGTTGTCACCCATAGTCTCATTTGGGGGACATGAGCGTTTGGCAGAGTTCCAACTCAATAATTACAAGGCACCAATTTGTTTTGGGTGAACTCGATTTCTAGCAACTAATTTGAGTGAACTCGAATTATATCAGCTAAATTGAGTGAAACTTATTCAAATGATTATTTCTGCCATTGTGCCTGTATATAAAGAATGTAGTAGACATGGTTCCCTCATTGCAAATTTCAGTTCATTCCAAATTCTAGGAGATCTTGTCTCAGACCTAGTTGGTGTCCCTGTGTTGGAATAATTATTATTTATGTATATTTATGAACAAAAATCTTTATGTATATTTATGGAAACATATTTATGCACATTTATTTACATGTCTTCAGTTACCATTTTCTCATCTTCTGAAGATGTACGAAATGTGTATTTATGAATTTTATCATGAAGAGAAAATACACAAAAAATGTTGAATTACTAAAATGAAAACATCGAGATGAAGTTATAGTGTGTACATATAGCCGAAAAAAAAAAGACTATAAGTTAATCCCTATTGTTTTAAGGATTTTTTATCTAGAACAAAATCGTCCAGCAAAACGGGAACCCCCCGCTGGGACACCTCACATTCCCCACATCTTTTGTTTGGAGTCTGGGTCCACCAGGCCATGACCAATTAGTTAACAGAAGAACAGAACTTTTATTGCTTTTCACGCCGTAAGACAACGGCATATGAAGATCACAATGATTACACAAATGTATACATTTTGGTGACAGGGCTGGGAATCTGAGTATAAGGCATATAAGCTACAAACCATAAACAGTAGTACATAACACTTTCTTTTAGTTTTAATATAGATTTTCACATAATTTTTACAGGAAAAAGAATCATTTTCCCAGTGACTTGTACCTGGACATGACAGTGCTACAAAAAGTACAAAGTTTTCGTAATTGACCAAATTTTTGTTTTTGGAACAATTGACAGAATTTAACAGAGTTTGGTCTTTTTTGTAAAAGTAAGGTTTAATAAATTGGTTTTCGAGTCAGCAAAATAGGACATTCTAAAATTGCATGGTATTCATCACCGATAGAGGTATTACAGAGTACATTAAAGTTCGTGTAGAGGTACACCATTCCAACGGCCGACCTCAACTGGTAGACGGTGATTAGATGTACGAAAAAAGCAATTTAATCCAGCTGTTTTGTGATAAAAATGCTTAAATAATTTTCTAATCCAAACTGTGTCTTAAAGATCCGGTAAGTTTTGACCTTTGAGGAATTAAACATATCTGAGAACCAAGTCTGTATCTACTGATCCTCTAGCCTTACTCTGATAATGTTTGTAAGAAATGACAATGAAACATGGTCCTGGTTATACCATATGTACAAAAAACATGTCTTTGTGAAAATAGACTCCAGACATTTTATCCATGTGTGTGAATGATTTCCCAAGTAATCATCAGCATACATGAGTTGAAAAAACGCAACAGATAATTTGTTTTCTTTACCAGTCAGAAGACGTGCCCAAAACTTAACCATTCGTGTATATACAGATATGTACAGTGGTTTTCGTCCCAACTCACCATATATCATGTCTGATGGAGTGGATTTCTTTAAATGTAAAAGTGAATGTACATTTTCTATCCCTTTCTATCAACAAAGGGGGATTAATGTATAGTCTGTATCTTGTATAGGAAGAGATGACGCTAATACACCATCGCGAATGGTAACTCTGGCTGTGCAGGCTTTTTTGCAACATTCCCAGTATGTGATAATACTACGTCTAGAATTAACTCTGAATTTAAAACCATCTAACACTAAATAAATTCTGACCACTTTTAGTGTTAGCAATGTATCTAAAGTTAACCTGAGCGTTCGCCATTTTTGGAATGACCATTTGAGGTTCAGAGGAGCTATTTATGTCAAAACGATATGCTATGATTAAATCTCAGTAGTTTATTTTTTTTCATTTCAAATCAATTATTACATCAAGACCTATTAAAACAGTTCACAATATAAGTGAACTGATTTCACCAATTGGCCTTAGCTCCCTTCTACTGACAGTGAGACGTGTTCACCAGTGACACTAATTAGAACAGACCATAGTCCCACATCCACAGTCCAGTGACCTCCGGATCCCTTATCCATACATTCAGATGTGGGGGGAGTGAGGTTAAACCCTGTGCACATCACATTCGCTCGACCTGTTTGCCCGCAGCGAGATCGCAGCCGCATTCTACAGGCACACTTCGGCTCTTCTCAGGCGTACGACATGGCGATAGAGAGCAAGCAAGCCACATATTCAGTAAGTCACGTTATGATGGTTTTGTCTGTGACATCTCGTTGGGGTGTAAAGGCAGAGTTACCAGCTGTATGAAACATGTTTGTGACTCTATAGTTCGGCAGAATGACGTAGCAGTTGATTACCTCATATACTATTGTGCGAACGTCTCTGGCTGGCTGTCAGCGTTGCCGTGTTCTACAAATTAACATTAAGGCCCAACAGGGTGCGTGGTGGGACTATACCGTGTACCAAAAACATGTGCCGTTAGAATTTGTTGGTTGTGAATTGTAGATTCGTGTTGTGTGATTTAAACAAAGCGGACAAACAGAATGCGTCTTGCTAAGACTTTGAATGTTAGGCAAGTACCAGGACACATGTATCCCGGGCAGCTGAAAAGGATAACTGTGTCTTCAAATACAGAAGTCCATCAGTGGGTCCACAACACTGTATTCGTGATTCAATGTGTATAATTACATGATGTTATAACAAGGGCTAGGCGGCATTGGGGAGGCGATGGTCAGCCAGCCTGCCTAGCCGCGCGCTTGCTCAGGGTCAAGTCTCGACTAACACAAAGCATTCTCAATTTATCCCTGAGGGTCGAATCTAGTCTCTCGTACAGACCCTGGAGCAAATATATCCAAGAAAGCCCACACAAGTCTAGAAAATGTGGCAAGTCTAGATCTGAAAATGAAGAAAGTCTCAGGGCTCCTTTTCATTATATAATTTTTTTTTTACTATGAACTTTTTTCAGTATAATATGTTCATTTCAGAGAGTAGTTGTTAGTCTAGGTCGAATCCTCATCACACTGTTACGTGCCGTATTTGCGACAGATGTGTGGTCAGCCTGCAGTATCAAGCACCTCATCCACAATGCCTAGACTAACAACTAGTCTCTGAAATGAACATATTCTACTGAAAAAAGTTCATAGTGAAAAAAATATAATATAATGAAAAGGAGCCCTGAGACTTTCTTCATTTTCCGAAGCTGAGGAAATCTAGACTTGCCACATTTTATAGACTTGCGTGGGCTTTCTTGGATATATTTGCTCCAGGGTCTGTACGACAGACTACCACAATGCTAGCTTCAGTGGCCAACCAGCCATTGTCTAACTTTGATTATATGCAGCTAATGACAGCATGGTCATTACTTAAAGAGATATTCAATTTACATAACTCAAGGAATATTATAAATATCCCTGATAAATCCTGTTCCAAAATGCCTACGATACAAGTGAATCAAGGTCACGTGTGCGTTCATGGACCAATGCCTTTCGTCAGAGACCATATAATATGGTCTCTGCTTTCGTCCACTGACCTTGAAATACTGATATAATATCTACAAGAATGTAGTTTACCGGGCTCAGCAACCGGCAGGGCCTAGATTTTCGAAGCTCTCTTACCGCTAAGATAGTCAATTGCCATACATTACCATTAACTTATGACTATCTTAGCGCTAACAGAGCTTAGAAAATCTAGGCCCAGGGATGACTGCCCGTCGCGGAGCAATTATGGCACTATAGCGAGCCCACAGTCTCGCTATATCGCTGCTCGACTCACGCTTCGGTGCTCTCCTCTATATAACTGAACTTCTTCAGAGGCAAACAGCCCTTTCCGATCTTAAGGTTTAGGGTTAGGTACCCTTTCGATCCTTAAGGAGCTGACGCATCTTTAGAGGCAAACAACTCTAACTGTCCTTAGGGTTAGGTTCCCTTTCCGATCCTTAGGGTTTAGGGTTAGGCACCCTTTCCGATCCTTAGGGTTATGTACCCTTTCCGATCCTTAGAGTTGGTACCCTTCCGATCCTTAAGGTTAGGTACCCTTTCGATCCTTAGGGTTAGGTACCCTTTCCGATCCTTAGAGTTGGGTACCCTTCCGATCCTTAAGGTTAGGTACCCTTTCGATCCTTAGGGTTTGGAGATTCGATGGCTGTTGTTGTCTTGGGCCTTTTTCCATGTGAAATATTGAGTGTAGAAGTGTCTCTCTCTCTGAGATAATCCACAACTTTTGTAGAAATTATGCGACAGAATCTGTAATATGTGTCAGGAACATGATGGATTTCACCATCTGTCACATCAGCTCGAGACAAGAAGGGTCAGCTATCTCCACTATGCACAACCAGTATCTTTCACCCTCTATGTCCTCAGATCAATGACAAGGCCCTGGAGATTGACCTGACAGTGCAGGATATAGTCTGGGAGAAAGACCGACATGGGGAAAGTCTAATGTTTCAAATGTATGAAGGAGTCCGATGTGGCTGCTTCATAGATCCCGGCAGAGTGAAGAACTTCAAGCTCCGACCTGATGACATCTATTTCCCAGGGTATCTAAGAACAGGTGAGATTTCTGGCTCTGTTTGCCTTTTGTCTTCACAGACGTTTTTATAAGCTGGATATATTCTCTCAGTTGTCAGCACTATGTGAGTATTGAATCTTATTTGAAACATCAGGTTAAACGATCAGGTCATGGCATTCTTCAAAGGCATGTATCTGTTTTAGTTTGAATAACTGTTTCTTCAAACACAAGAGACCCGTGAAGATCTGGATTAGAATTGGTCTTCAGCAACCCATGCTTGTTGTAAGCGACTAACGGGATCGGAAGGTCAGGCTCACTGACTTGATGGACGCATGTCATTGTGTCCCAATTGAGTAGATCGATGTTCATGCTGTTGATCACTGGATTGTCTGGTCCAAACTCGATTACTTACAGACCGCTGCCATATAGCTGGAACATTGATGAGTGCGGCGTAAAACAACATAAAACATTAAACATCCAACACAAAAGCCCATCAGTGGGTCCATGGTGAGGAGTTAACAGAAACCAGTATGATATACAATGGTAACAACATTTCAAATTTCAAAATTGAATTTAAATTTATAAAGAGCTGAGCAACAAAAGGTTGACACTATTATAAGAAGTGAAACTTTCTCAGTTGGAAATACAGTGGAAACCTGATTAGTAAAATTTCAAGGGACTCGCCAAAACTGTTTACTTATCAGGTATTTTACTTATCCAAAGTTATCAAAATCTGCAAATGACAACCATATGCATGTATATGTAAACAGCAGAATTACAGACAACACTGGTAAGTAATATGACCAAGCTACATAAAACTATGAACAACATATCAGGGCTGGCCTCCAGTTGTCAGTGTATTGTCAACTGCATGATGCCAGCGAGCTGTAAGTAGGATGTTAGTTTAGCCGGAGACTGACACGTGCCCCTGATGCCGGATTATGTGGTGATCGCTAATTTAGTTATCCGGTCTCTTTTGTTAAGTAATTTACTTCCAGGGACCGTGAGAAAACGTTAAGTTAAGCGGTATTGTTTACTTATCCTAGTTTAGTTAACCGGACTCTAACAGTGATAATGAATTATACAAATTATTTTGAATACAGCTGGTCTTTGAGTATCAATCAACCAAGGTGTTTGTGTTTAATCATTCGTCATTACTGCGACATCACCAAATCAATACGATCACCCCTGAAACATGTCACTGTAGGATCAAATCCCAATAACAATCAAGGTGGACTGCTAATTGTATACATGAGCTATTGATCCATGGACTGCACAAGTCGATGATCTCAATATTCCACTATTTTATAGGACTTCTGCCACTGGTGACATTTGGGGACAGTGGAGGTATAGCATTGTAGGTTGCTAATTGTCAGACAATACTACAAATCTATATTCCCCCAGCAGTATCATGACATGGATCCACACAAGATGTCGTTGTCATTTTCGGCGTCATGCCCAAACAAATCAGCAAATTCCACGACGGAAGAATGTTTTGATGTATTTTACAGGAGATCTGTTATACTACACATGTGAATGTTACGTTGGGTACACATGCAAGTTATGTTGGGTACACATGCATGTTATGATGGGTACACATACAGGGTACACACGCAAGTTATGTTGGGTACATATGCAAGTTATGTTGGGTACACATGCAAGTTATGTTGGGTACGCATGCATGTTATGTTGTACACGTACGTTATGTTATGATGGGTACACATACAGGGTACACACGCAAGTTATGTTGGGTACACATGCAAGTTATGTTGGGTACACGTGACTGTTACGTAGGGTACACATGCAAGTTATGTTGGGTACACATGCATGTTATGATGGGTACACATAGAGTTATGTTGGTACACATGCAAGTTATGTTGGGTATGCATATGCAAGTTATGTTGGGTACATTGCATGCAAGTTATGTTGGGTACACATGATGTTATGATGGTACACACATGCAAGTTATGTTGGGTACACATGCAGTTATGTTGGGTACATGCATGCAAGGTTATGTTGGGTACACGTGACTGTTACGTAGGGTGCACTATAACTGTTACGTTGTGTACACATGCAAGTTATGTTGGGTACACATGCAGGGTACACATCCATGTTACGTTTGGCACACTTGCCTTAATCACCCACGGAGTGAACTAACATATAGTAAGATACAAAACCTCACTCACTCACTCACTTCATCTCTCGATCCAGGCGGACATTGGATATGGGAGATGACCTGCATGCTGATCAATGGCAAAGCTGAGACCATCACCCGGTTTAAGGACTACCTAGGACTTGCCACTGTTGGCGACCTTGACAAACAAGCCTCGCCCCGAGTCCTCAACTGCCATGCTCACTTGACGCAAGCTCCGTTGGACCTGAAGGAGAAGAAGTGCCGAGTCATCTTCACGATGCGCGACCCCAAAGACGTGGCAGTGTCGTTGTACAGGATGCACCATGGCCATCGGGATGCCGGTGGGAACGTGTACAACGGAACATTTGAAGACTTCCTCCAGCTGTTCTTGGAGCAAAGGGGTTAGTGACTCTTTCTTCTGCAATGTTTAGGATTTGGGAAGCTGGAAACATTTGGCTTAAAATTGAAGCCAGTAAATATACTCTTCAAAAAGGTATGGGAACTTAATTGGGAGACATACTGGAGTCAATACATGTTCATATGATAATAATGAATGTTTTGAGAGTGCATCACCACTTGCACTTCCTTATGACCATAGTTGTTTGTACAGTAATCGCTCTTTAAACATGATTGGTATATGACGTGTGCACGAATTTCATTTTCAAACAAAAGTCGGCTAGAAACAAACACTAACAACCGTGTGCTGCAAGATGATTGTCAAAATGAATGGTCTACAGTGATTTATCTAAAAACCGTCAAAATGAAGAATGACAAACCCGTGCACGTGTATGGGGCTACTGCGTTGTTCACGTGCACCCGATGGGATGTGTTTAGTGATGTAAAGAGAAATGGTGGTGCGTTCACAAGATGTCTGTCTTTGAAAAGTTTGTTAACGCTCATGCTTCCTATCCAAGTTCAGGTTCCCCTACGTTCTTTAAGAGTTATAATAACTTCCTCAGGAGTTGCACTGACAAGTCACACATCTTCAGTTGTATTGGAGTCGCTAGGAAACTGAAAGGTTGCTCTGCTATGAAAATGGACAAGAAAATACACAGAACATCAAGACGTCCTGAATATGTTTGCTTAGAAAGCGGCCATTTTTTCCAATTTGGTGTGAAGGTTTGGTTTAGAATAATTGTGAAAGCTAAAACAATTACAATAAGAATACGTATGTTGATAAAGAGATTGTCGGTTGGAAAAGGTTCCTAAAATGGTATATCAACGGTAGAAACGGTAAAGAGCCAGCCAGGGCCACGTTTAACAAAGCTCTCGTAGCGCTACAAGCGTCGTAAGTCAATGTTACGAATGCTTTACGAGAATGAAACGGGGGCCCAGAATGTTGGATTGTTGTGAGTTCCATCACCTTATCTAACATTTATACGTATTCTAAGAGAACGATACAAAGATCACGTTTACGGGGTTTAGGAAAGAAGTTTTCACAATTTAATGTGCAGCTTAACGGAAAACATTTGAATTTCGGTGAGGGTTATCAACAGTGGATATGTTAAATTGTATGTTTTATTGACTTGCAGTAAACAGAAATGGAATATTTGAACACGCCCGGGATGCTGAGAAGTATTTCCAAGAAAACCCAGACATACCTGTTCACTACCAGCTATACGAGGACACCCAAAAGGTTAGACTATTAGAGAAGATGTGCATTCGCTCACACTGGTATAGATGCATACACATTCTCGGCTTGTTAAATGTAGGAAATTGTTTCGAAGTGAGTGAATACTACAGGCCCGCACGATGGTGGATACAGTGAGTGAATATTATGAACAGTGTTTTAGTGACGTCACGGCGTGTCCGCTTGTGGGAGCAAAACCCGGAGTACGCAGCACGCCAACGCTTTGATGAAAAACACGTGCTCAGGTGTGGCCTTGGCAGGCCATGAAACATAACCGGGGCGACTCCGGATTATTAATAGTGTCCATTTATATAGCGCCAAACTCCACACCAAGTATGCTAATGGCGCTAACAATAAATATCACAGTGCATTATTTCGCCGGATAACCCAAGCTGCCTCTTAGGCGCTAGATTGCTTCAGTCACAGGACTTATCCCACCGGGTACCCATTTTCTGCTGGGTGAACAGACAATTTTGAACAAACTCACTTGCATAAGGTGAGACCACATGTATCACATGTGTTTCGTTGTGGGACAGTACAGAAGTCCTATAAACTCTCAGGACTCAAGCTGCCAAATCCGGTCACTAATATAATGACTCTCCGCTCTCGACGTTGCTTATCTTCAACTAATTTGTGACCTGAGCCCTATGCACTGGACCACATGAAGACAATCGAAGCATAGAACAGAACGTAAATGTGGTATAACAGGTGTAAACAGTGCAGGTTTAACTATGACGTTCTTATTATTCAGGATCCAGTTGCAACGGTGCGCGCTTTATCCGACTTTCTGGGTCTCCAAAGGGATGATGATCTGTGTTGTGCTATTGCTGATGAATGTCACTTCTCCAAGATGAAAGTGAAAAAAGAAGCCTACGCAATGAAGGTTGATGGTGCAAATAATCTTTACGGAAAAGGTTTGCTGTTGTTTTATTGTTTGAAAAATCATGAGTGAGTGAGTGAGTGAGTTTAGTTTACGCCACACTCAGCAATATTCCAGCTATATGGCGGCGGTCTGTAAATAATCGAGTCTTGACCAGACAATCCAGTGGTCAACAGCATGAGCATCGATCTGCGCAAATGGAACCGATGACATGTGTCAACCAAGTCAGCGAGCCTGACCATCCGATCCCGTTAGTCGCCTCTTACGACAAGCATAGGTTACTGAAGGCACATTGTAACCCGGATCGTCACGATACAAATATACAAACATGATACAAACATACATTATTACAAAATATCACATTATACGCAATATCACATGCATACATCATTATTCATAGTCCCACAAGGTGAGATACACTATCTCCATAAGCAAGTGGAGTCTGTTAGTGTTATTAGTGTTATTTCTGTGTAGTTCTGTTCTGACTTTGTCAGATTGGTAAATGTGTGGCTGCTTGTACTAGCCCAGACTTAAGCTGGCGAGTTCTCGTGTTCGGCTTTAGCCCGAGCAGAGTTTATTTAAATAACTACCTTATAAGGGGGATTAACCTATACATACCCTATTAAACCTATAATCCCATGTGGCCCATAGTTTGGAAAACGCTACATTTACTAAACTTTCTCCTTGCAGGCGTCTCTGGGGAGTGGAGGAATTGGTTCACTGATGCCATGCTGGACGACTATTACAGGGTGTATGAGGAGCAGATGAAGGGGTCCAGATTCTACGAGCGCTACAACAGACATAATGATACCCAGTAACAAAAGAGTGGGTGCGCTATGTTCCCTGTTCAAATATCATCTAAATTTCAGGAAAAGAACGGGCAATGGTTTTCACTACTTTATAATAATATAATAATTGTGCACCCTACCTGCCAGTGAGACGCTAGGTTATTAGTCACATGACTAATCCCACCGGGTACCCATTTTCTGCTGGATGAACAGAGGCAATTTTGAACAAACTCACTTGCCTAAGGTGAGAGCACATGTATGTATCACATGTACTTTGGTGTGGGGCAGGACTGAAGTCCTGGAAACTCTCAGGAGCCAAGCTGCCAAACACGGTCACCCATCCAAGGACTCCACCCCTCCATGTACCCTCTCTCATAATGTTTACAAGATTGACGTCATAAATATGTACATGAGACGGAGTATATACAGAAAAGATAGCATGAAACAGAGTTTTTATTAACTTTTACTGCCAGTGTCGTTGAAATACGTGCATAGAATACATTGTTGTGATCTCTGAGATGGCAGCTTCCATTTGACAAATTTTTAAACTTATCCCATCTCACGGTATGCACCTCTCTTCTTCTTCTACGACCATGTGTGGAAACGTTGAACAGTTGAATCAAATCTTACTGGCCTCTGACCCCCCCGACCTCTGCCCCCACTCCGACATCAGCACCTGTCAATCATCTCTGTAAGCGTGCAGATCGCTCAGATGATCATGTGACGACCTGTGCCTGTCATTCTCTTACTTGTCGCTACACCGAGTGGACGTGTGTTGTTCTCTCAGTTAGACATTATTTGATTGTCAAGATGGGAAATAAATGGAGTTCTTCTAAGAAACACAAACACTGTGATCAGTGCAACAGCAACTTTTCCGCTGCTGTTGTAGTTGGTCACATCGGTGTTCTGTTTGTTCACGCTTCAATGATGATGTTTTTTTCTGAATATCGACGGGTTGCATCTAGACGTAGATTTTTTAGAGGTGGCCTCAAGACTCCTACTTGAGCGAGTATCTCCGTCGTCTTCTTCGTCATCAAACGTCTAGTCCCGTCTCCAGACAAGTTTTATCTGATCCGAGTGTGGTACCTATAGTCTCTCGTACAGACCCTGAAACAAATATATCCAAAAAAGCCCACACAAGTCTAGAAAATGTGGCAAGTCTAGATTTCCTCAGCTTCAGTAAGTCACGTTATGATGGTTTTGTCTGTGACATCTCGTTGGGGTGTAAAGGCAGAGTTACCAGCTGTATGAAACATGTTTGTGACTCTATAGTTCGGCAGAATGACGTAGCAGTTGAGTACCTCATATACTATTGTGCGAACGTCTCTGGCTGGCTGTCAGCGTTGCCGTGTTCTACAAATTAACATTAAGGCCCAACAGGGTGCGTGGTGGGACTATACCGTGTACCAAAAACATGTGCCGTTAGAATTTGTTGGTTGTGAATTGTAGATTCGTGTTGTGCGATTTAAACAAAGCGGACAAACAGAATGCGTCTTGCTAAGACTTTGAATGTTAGGCAAGTACCAGGACACATGTATCCCGGGCAGCTGAAAAGGATAACTGTGTCTTCAAATACAGAAGTCCATCAGTGGGTCCCACAACACTGTATTCGTGATTCAATGTGTATAATTACATGATGTTATAACAAGGGCTAGGCGGCATTGGGGAGGCGATGGTCAGCCAGCCTGCCTAGCCGCGCTGGCTCAGGGTCAAGTCTCGACTAACACAAAGCATTCTCAATTTATCCCTGAGGGTCGAATCTAGTCTCTCGTACAGACCCTGAAGCAAATATATCCAAGAAAGCCCACACAAGTCTAGAAAATGTGGGAAGTCTAGATCTGAAAATGAAGAAAGTCTCAGGGCTCCTTTTCATTATATATATTTTCTTTTACTATGAACTTTTTTTCAGTAAAATATGTTCATTTCAGAGACTAGTTGTTAGTCTATGGTACCTAGTGCTAACAACTTCTGCAGCACAGTCTCGGCCTTTTCCCTTGGCAGGTGGTTGTTTCCAGTGCGCCACTTTGGTTGAATGCTCCACCTCTGCCATGGTGGTAGACTAAGGCTTAGTCTCTGAATATATATAATTTTGATAGTAACAAACAAGTCCATTTATATTGAAAAGGAGCCCTAGGGAGACCAGAGATTCCTGAACCTGAGGAAATCTAGACTTGCTTTATCTAGGGCTTTAGCACTGCAGAGAGGGCTAGGCAGTAGGGAAATTAATGTGGTTCAGGGACTGTGAGACAGACTACCATGGTGGGTACGCCTGGTGAAAGCGTTCACTCTCATGTGGCGAGTTCAGTCAGTTCGGCGCTTTCAACCACAGTTCGGCGCTTGCTTCCAATGCGGCGTTTTGTTCCAGTTCGGCGCTCTCTTATCTTTCTGTGGTGACATCAGCCAAACGGTAGCATCCAGCTCGGCGCTTTCAACACCTTTCCCGTACCTTGCAGGCGCATTCGATTGGATCAACACTTCAGCCCTGTATGCCTTTTCGATTAGATCAACGCTTCAGCCCTGTATGCCTTTTCGATTAGATCAACGCTTCAGCCCTGTATGCCTTTTCGATTAGATCAACGCTTCAGCCCTGTATGCCTTTTCGATTAGATCAACGCTTCAGCCCTGTATGCCTTTTCGATTAGATCAACGCTTCAGACCAGTGTTCCGTTTTCGATTAGATCAACGCTTCAGACCAGTGTGCCTTTTCGATTAGATCAACGCTTAAGCCCAGTGTGCCTTTTCGATTAGATCAACGCTTAAGCCCAGTGTGCCTTTTCGATTAGATCAACGCTTCAGACCAGTGTTCCGTTTTCCATTAGATCAACGCTTCAGCCCAGTGTGCCTTTTCGATTAGATCAAAGCTTCAGCCCAGTGTGCCATTTCGATTAGATCAACGCTTCAGCCCTGTATGCCTTTTCGATTAGATCAACGCTTCAGCCCTGTATGCCTTTTCGATTAGATCAACGCTTCAGCCCTGTATGCCTTTTCGATTAGATCAACGCTTCAGCCCTGTATGCCTTTTCGATTAGATCAACACTTCAGCCCTGTATGCCTTTTCGATTAGATCAACGCTTCAGCCCTGTATGCCTTTTCGATTAGATCAACGCTTCAGACCAGTGTTCCGTTTTCGATTAGATCAACGCTTCAGCCCAGTGTGCCTTTTCGATTAGATCAACGCTTCAGACCAGTGTTCCGTTTTCCATTAGATCAACGCTTCAGCCCAGTGTGCCTTTTCGATTAGATCAAAGCTTCAGCCCAGTGTGCCATTTCGATTAGATCAACGCTTCAGACCAGTGTTCCGTTTTCCATTAGATCAACGCTTCAGCCCAGTGTGCCTTTTCGATTAGATCAAAGCTTCAGCCCAGTGTGCCATTTCGATTAGATCAACGCTTCAGCCCTGTATGCCTTTTCGATTAGATCAACGCTTCAGCCCTGTATGCCTTTTCGATTAGATCAACGCTTCAGCCCTGTATGCCTTTTCGATTAGATCAACACTTCAGCCCTGTATGCCTTTTCGATTAGATCAACGCTTCAGCCCTGTATGCCTTTTCGATTAGATCAACGCTTCAGACCAGTGTTCCGTTTTCGATTAGATCAACGCTTCAGCCCAGTGTGCCTTTTCGATTAGATCAACGCTTCAGACCAGTGTTCCGTTTTCCATTAGATCAACGCTTCAGCCCAGTGTGCCTTTTTTCGATTAGATCAAAGCTTCAGCCCAGTGTGCCATTTCGATTAGATCAGCGCTTTCAGACCAGTGTTCCGTTTTCCATTAGATCAGCGCTTCAGCCCAGTGTGCCTTTTCGATTAGATCAAAGCTTCAGCCCAGTGTGCCATTTCGATTAGATCAACGCTTCAGCCCTGTAGCAGCCTTTTTTCGATTAGATCAACGCTTCAGCCCTGTATGCCTTTTCGATTAGATCAACGCTTCAGCCCTGTATGCCTTTTCGATTAGATCAACGCTTCAGCCCTGTATGCCTTTTCGATTAGATCAACACTTCAGCCCAGTGTGCCTTTTCAATTAGATCAAAGCTTCAGCCCAGTGTGCCATTTCGATTAGATCAACGCTTCAGACCAGTGTTCCGTTTTCCATTAGATCAACGCTTCAGCCCAGTGTGCCTTTTCGATTAGATCAAAGCTTCAGCCCAGTGTGCCATTTCGATTAGATCAACGCTTCAGCCCTGTATGCCTTTTCGATTAGATCAACGCTTCAGCCCTGTATGCCTTTTCGATTAGATCAACGCTTCAGCCCAGTATGCCTTTTCGATTAGATCAACGCTTCAGCCCTGTATGCCTTTTCGATTAGATCAACACTTCAGCCCTGTATGCCTTTTCGATTAGATCAACGCTTCAGCCCTGTATGCCTTTTCGATTAGATCAACGCTTCAGACCAGTGTTCCGTTTTCGATTAGATCAACGCTTCAGCCCAGTGTGCCATTTCGATTAGATCAACGCTTCAGACCAGTGTTCCGTTTTCCATTAGATCAACGCTTCAGCCCAGTGTGCCTTTTCGATTAGATCAAAGCTTCAGCCCAGTGTGCCATTTCGATTAGATCAACGCTTCAGACCAGTGTTCCGTTTTCCATTAGATCAACGCTTCAGCCCAGTGTGCCTTTTCGATTAGATCAAAGCTTCAGCCCAGTGTGCCATTTCAATTAGATCAACGCTTCAGCCCTGTATGCCTTTTCGATTAGATCAACGCTTCAGCCCTGTATGCGTTTTCGATTAGATCAACACTTCAGCCCTGTATGCCTTTTCGATTAGATCAACGCTTCAGCCCTGTATGCCTTTTCGATTAGATCAACACTTCAGCCCTGTATGCCTTTTCGATTAGATCAACGCTTCAGCCCTGTATGCCTTTTCGATTAGATCAACGCTTCAGACCAGTGTTCCGTTTTCGATTAGATCAACGCTTCAGCCCAGTGTGCCTTTTCGATTAGATCAACGCTTAAGCCCAGTGTGCCTTTTCGATTAGATCAACGCTTCAGCCCAGTGTGCCTTTTCGATTAGATCAACGCTTCAGACCAGTGTTCCGTTTTCCATTAGATCAACGCTTCAGCCCTGTATGCCTTTTCGATTAGATCAAAGCTTCAGCCCAGTGTGCCATTTCGATTAGATCAACGCTTCAGACCAGTGTTCCGTTTTCCATTAGATCAACGCTTCAGCCCAGTGTGCCTTTTCGATTAGATCAAAGCTTCAGCCCAGTGTGCCATTTCGATTAGATCAACGCTTCAGACCAGTGTT